GCCCTCGCCCCCGCGGCCCCGGGTGCTCCGCGGCCGTCCCCCAGCCCCGGGACCCCCAGCCCCCCAGCTGCCATCTTGTCGCCCATCCCCCGCCGCCGCCCTCCCCCGCCGCCGCCCTCCCCCGCAGCCCGAGGAGTGGGAGGGGGAGCAGGGGGCACCGCCCTGCGCGCCCCGAGGGGGGGGCCCGCGTCCTGCCCCCCCCCACTCCCACCCCGCAGAGCGCTGACGCGGCCCCACACAGGTTGGCGCGTCCGTCGGGACCCACGACCCCCGGCGAACCCCCGGCCGGGCCGGCCCCTGCAGCCCGCAGCTCAAGTTTCAGGCGCCGCCCGCCGCCGTGGCAGGCCCCATCCTAGCGGGGCCGACGCTGGAAGGCCCTGATGTGGGCTTCGCTCCCTCCCAGCACTGGGCCCCTCTGGCTTTGCGGCGGTGCCCACAGCCCCAGGCTTAGTGTTCCCGACTCTACTTACCAAAGCTAGGTCGGATATTGGTGATCTCAGCCATGTCGTAACCAGAGGCTATTGCTATAAACGCTTTTTCAAGGGTCGGACAAGTCTGGGGGCGCCCGGTCAGCACCGAGGCCGCCGCTGTAGAGCGCTAGCTCAGGGGAGGGGGAAGGTATCTGGCGGACGCCTCCTGCGACGGTCGGGCCCCTGGTTGCCAGCTGCGGCCGCCTCCTAAGATGCTCCAGGGATGCTCTGAGCGAAGGATGCAGGTGCAGCCAGACTGGTCCTGATGCGAGGTAGGCCCCGCCTTCTTCCGAACGGCCCTCTGCAGAAGACTCCGCCTCCGTCCGAAAAGTTCCGGAGGCCAGGCCCCGCCCCTTTCCGGAAGCTCTCGGCGAGAGGACCCCTGCGGTCGCGGAGATTGCTTGAGAATTGAGACCCCGCCCACTGGCGGGCTGAGGGTCCGTAAGGCTAAAGCCCCGCGGCCCAAGAGGTGTAGGTACTTTTTTATATGAGGTCCTGTAGATCCTGTGATTCCCTTCCCCGGGCTAAATACAGCGGCAGAATGTTCTGGGTGACAGGGAGCCCAGGATTGTGGAAAAAGAGAATTCTATACTGCCTGCATTTCAGTATCATTTACCATTATTGTTACGCATTTCTGAGACCACTAAGGGTTATTACAGAAACTTCGTAAACTTCAGAAGGTCTGATTAAAGACTAAACCAGGTGATGGTTGCACAACTCTGGGAATTTACTGGGAATAATTATAGTAGTAAAATGCTACAATCCATCTACGATGGGTTTTGTGGTGCGTACATTAAAGCTGTTAAAAAAAAGACTAGTGAGGTGTGTCAAAGTTCACCTGTGTTGGGTATTTCTCTTCCACAACTTTCAACACACACACACAATGGGAGAGAGAAGGGCAGAGGGAGCAAGCAAACCAACAGATCTGTGCATTCTGTAGGTTGAAGAACAGGACACGGACGAAACTCCAAGCTTCTAGAGACTTCCTTGGCATTTGGGAGAGGTAGGGTGATTCAGGTTGTAGAATCCTGGCAGGAACCTCCATGATTACTGCAATTTCACCCTTCTTTTTGACTGTGGATGCTTTCATCTTGTTTACAGACAGGACCAGGTCAAATTATTTAAACGCATAAATATTTGTTGGTGGTTCACCTGTAAACAGACAGCTGAATGTGTTTTTTTTTCCAGCTTCGACATTCTGTCCTTCTAGAAAAGTGGAAAGAACAAGGTTCTAGAAATCATTTATTCACTCAAAATCCATGTATTGAACATCCACTCTGCCCCCGGCACCCTCCCGAGCACTGGATCAGTGTGCATTAGAAGCCAGGTTTAGGATACCTGATTTCCCCTGATAGCTGTGTGTGTTTGTGAAATCACCCTCCCAGCTGAGCCCGAAATTTGTTCTGTGTAAATTGGAAGGTATAATAGCCATTGTCCCACAGGGTTTATTGTGAAGATCAGATCACCTATGATGACGTAAGTGAAAGCATTTTGTGGAAGGAAGAGTATTATACAGACAGGAGTAATCACTATGGGTTGAGTCCCAGACTGCCTTCGTTTTATTCGGGAAACTGAACTATTTGTACAAACCAGGGAGTCCTCTTTCTGCAATCTTACGAATTCGCCATTTCCTCGGTCCCGTATTCCAGGTATCTCGCGGCGGGAAGGACTGGTTGTCAAACTACACCACTGCATCGCAACCCCCAGCTTTGTTTAGAGTAGGGCAGCTCCACGGACAGAAAAAGCCAGGGATCGCCCTTAAATTTTTGGGCCGACAGCTGACACGGCGGCTTCGGTCCGCCCCAAGCTAGCATGGCGCCCGGAGGCCGGCGCATGCTCATTGGCGGCTCGGGGGCGCGCACGTCCGTCGTCGCCGTTGGCCGACTTCCGGCGGTAGCGAAGCTGGGTTTCCGCGGGATCTGGCCGGCTGGTGAGGGCGGCGGGGCGCGTGCGGTGGGGCGGAAAGAGGGGTCGGGTTAGCGCGGGGTGCGTGACGGTGCCGGGCTGGGCGTGGGGAGCTGGGCCGCCGCTCGGCGCCGAGGTGGGGAGCGCGGTGAGGACCCCCTTTTGGAATCTGTGCCCGGGAGGGGCCCGCGCTGGTGCTGCCCGGGGTCGCATTCATTTCCCCCCGTTGGTGTGACTCCAGTTCCCGGAGCCGGGGCCTTAAGAGAGCTGCTGCGTTTTGAAGTGCCTGGGGCCCATCTCTGCACGCTGCTGCCTCTGAATGGTAGCTGCCTGCCTCCCGTCCTCCTTTTTCTGTTCTCAACTTGTCATTCATCTCTGAAGTGTAGGACCCGTGCAGGCTGCTCCCACCCCACCTCTTCCCTGCGCTCCACCGTCCCTCACCGGGGTCAGCAGAACCTTCACGTGTTTATTGAGCTTTAATAGCCAATCAGTGTGCATTAGAAGCCAGAGTTAGGATACCTGATTTCCCCTGATAGGTGTGTGTGTTTGTGAAACAAACTGGTTTGGAGCCAGGGGTGGGGTTCTCCTGCTGCCTGGAGAGACTGCATTAGGGAGGTTTATTTTATTTTATTTTTTATTTTTTTTTAAGATTTTATTTATTTATTTATTTGAGAGAGAGAGAATGAGAGATAGCACGAGAGGGAAGAGGGTCAGAGGGAGAAGCAGACTCCCTGCTGAGCAGGGAGCCCGATGTGGGACTCGATCCCGGGACTCCAGGATCATGACCTGAGCCGAAGGCAGTCGCTTAACCAACTGAGCCACCCAGGCGCCCTATTTTATTTTTTAAAAATTATCTTTTTATTTTAAGTAATCTCTGTCCCCAACGTGGGGCTCGAACTCACAACCGAGAGCAAGAGTTGTAGCTGCGCTCTTCTGACTGAGCCAGTCATTCGCCCCTGAATTGGGGAGTTTTAAAATAACCTTATTGTTCAGACTCTGAGAGAGAACTTTCTTAGTCCTCTAGTCCAGGCTTTCGTGTAGTACCCTGGTTGATGGGCATTGTCAGTGAGGAAGAACTCAGTGTTGTACAAGGCAACTTACTTTATTCTTGAACCTATTTTATAAAAGTTTTTCTGGGTAGAAAGATGCGATTAGCTTCCATCCAGTGCTTAACTCATGGTCCAAATGCTGCATAGAATAAGCACCAAATGGGAAGTTCATGCCCTCTTTCATTTGTTCGTTTCTTCAGGAAACATTCATTGAGTATACCATAGGCAGATCCTGCCAAGTACTGGGGGTACCAGTACCAGTTGGAAGAGTCCTTTTCCTCAGAAAGCATGTAGTTTTGGGGAAGGAGATGGGAAGGAGACAGACAAGAGAATGACAAAAGTGATAAATACTGTAAAAGAGCTTTGCAAACAGGTGCTGTAAGAACGTAAAAGATACCCTCCAGCTTAAGTTAGTGTTGCCCTTAAATTGTGAAAAACCGGAATAGAAGCCAAGAGTCAAGAAGTAATATAGCATAGAGAATAGAACTCCTGTTTTCAACACAAAATTTCTGTTAATATAGCTTAACCTTTTTAAACAACCACACTTTGCTTTTGGATTGTTTCTATTAATGGAACTACCTGTTCATGAAAACAGCAATAGCAAACATTGATCTAATAAATTGCTGTCTAATGACATAGATGCAATTTTTATTTCATTTTTAAAAACATTTTTAAAAAAGATTTTATTTATTGGGATGCGTGGGTGGCTCAGTCGGTTAAGCGTCTGCCTTCAGTTCAGGTCATGATCCCGGGGTCTTGGGATCGAGTCCTGCATCGGGCTCCTTGCTTGGCAGGGAGCCTGCTTCTCCCTCTGCCTGCCGCTCCCCCCTGCTTGTGCACTGTCTCTCTCTCTGGCAAACAAACAAACAAATAAATAAAATGGTTGATCTTTTTTAAAAAAAAGATTTATTTATTTATTTGAGAGAGAGAGAGGGAGGGTCAGAGAACACAAGCAGAGGGAGGGGCAGAGGGAGAAGCAGGCTCCCCGCTGAACAGGGAGCTGGAGTCAGGGCTCGATCCCAGAACCCTGGGATCATGACCTGAGAGCCGAAGGCAGATGCTTAACCGACTGAGCCACCCAGGTGTCCGCATTTCATTTTATAGCTGAGGAAACTGAGGTTCAGTTTAAGTAACTTATGCAGGGTCACAAAGCTGGAGAGAAGGTGATTTGGGAAACAAATGGAGTTTGACTCCACAGTTTGCTCTCAGCATCATGCTTTTCTCCCTCCCTGATGGTAGTAATGGTAACTAACATCTACTAATCACTTACTGTTTAATTTTTACAATAACTCTATGAGGTAAGCCCAGTTACTATCCTTGAAAGTGGAGGAAACTCAAGATCAGAGAGGTTAAGTCACTCAGCCAAGATAGCGTACTAGTATGCTGAAGTTAGGGTTTGAGCACCGTACTCTAACCACAGGCTCTCATCTCCCACCTATCGGGACGTTGTGTATTTGGTGTAAAGTACTGTGTCCATGACTGAACATGAATAAGTGGAAAAATACTTGAAGAAATGCTCTTATCATTAATTAATATGAGGGTGATGAGAACTTGCTTTTCTCCTTTCAGGATGGAACAGCAGTGGGACTTGGACAATGTTGCCCTGTAAGAAGAGAAGGACTACGGTGACAGAGTCCCCACAGCACCAGGGCAATCAGGAGGAAGGGGACCTAGACCTGGAGTCAGCTGTTAAGTCGTCGTCTGACCAGGTGAAAGACTTGGGGTCAGCGTCACTCTCTGGGAGTCCGAGTCATGGCAGAGCAGCTGGCCTCCAAATAGAGTCCGTGGAGGATGCTGGAAATCAGCTTGGTGTGGAGGATCCGTCTTTGAGCTCTAGGGTGCTCACCCAGGACACAAATGCACCAGTTTTAGAAGCTGTTGATGTGGCCATCTCTCAGGGAATCACCCTACCTTCCTTGGAGTCTTCGCAGCCCCTTAATGTACACATTGGTAAAGGAAAAGTCCAGGCCACTGGCTCAAGGAGAGGGAAGAAGATGACACTCAGGCCCGGGCTTGTTCCCCAAGAAGACAGAGGTGATCATCCTATTACAAAGGAGCCTTTTTCAGGAGAGCCTAGTGAAGAAGTCAAGGAAGAAGGAGGTAAGATGAACGGTCGTTAGGCCATGTTTGCCTTGATGCACCAGTTTGCCACTGTGCTCTCTGCAGTTCATTTATGAAGCAGCGTTTCTGACGGGATGCTGATTCACTGTGGACTCGGAACTGCACCGCTCATAAGGGTCAGCAGTCAGGTTTATGAATGGGTGGGGACTTTCTTGTCCCCCCCCGTCCCGAGATCTTCTTCTGTTTCCTTCTCTTTCTCTTACCCTCTCATGTCTGGAGTGGTGAGCTGTGCGTGGCCTTTTGTGATTTGGTGGGTGGACGTGGACATGAAGTGGGGCTTGTGGAGGAGGGGCAGCAGTGTAAAGGGACAGTGGGTGGGGCTCTACAGAGATGACATAACCCTTAGGACTTGAGGGATAAGAGTTTGACGGTTGGTGGCATGGGGTCTTGTAGGCCAAGAGCAGTAGGCGCCAAGGCAGAGGCCGAAGGGGATGGTGACATGGTTGGTTGGAAGAAGTGAGAGATGTCTTCAGAGCGGTTGATTATGTTTAGACTGTGAAGGGCTTTGTTTTTCATGCTCAAGCGTTTGAACTTTTCCTGTAGGTGATAGCTAGTTAATAAATAAAAGCAGCAGAAGGCACAGTTCTCGCCTCAGAAAGCTTGTAGTCTGGTTGAGAAGACAAGATAAGCACATAATTCATTTGGAGCAGCTGGAGGCAAGCAGACGACACAGCCTTGCCCTTCTCTCCCTGAGACCTTACAAAGGCTTGGACTGGGCTATTGGCAGTGGGGAGAGAGGGAAGGGTGTGTCTCAGAGACATTACGAAGGAAGAACTAATCTTGCTCGGAGCCTCATACCATTTAAGAGATCTGTCCTGGGGATGGTGGCGCAGGTGTGGGGGGGGTTGGAAAGGAGTTGGGCTTTAGGTATGAGGAGTGTGAGGTGTGATGTGGGGGCCATCAAGATAAAATAGAACTCTGAGATTGAAGTTGGGTAAGAGGTAGAAGTAGAAACCGTCCGAGTGTTCGCTGTGCTTCTTCATGGAGAGGAATGTGGAGGAAGGGGACCAGCTTAGGCTGAGGAAGATGACAGAGAAGGGAAAACTGGAGAAACGATAGAAGTCGGGAAGGAGGAGAGCTCTGAGAACAAGGCACATCATTTATTTATTTGTTTGTGTGTTTAAAAAGATTTTATTTATTTGACAGAGAAAGACACAGCAAGAGAGGGAACATAGGCAGGGGTTGTGGCAGAGGGAGAAGCAGGCTTCCCGCGGAGCAGGGAGCCCGATGCGGGGCTCGATCCCAGGACCCTGGGATCACGACCTGAGCCGAAGGCAGACGCTTAATGACTGAGCCACCCAGGTGCCCCAAGGCACATGATTTAAAAGTTAGTGACAAAGGAGAGAGAAGGATGATGGGGCCCGACAGAAGGCTGTGGTTGCAGCTTGGAGGTGGTTGAGAGGGGGCGCTGGAGAGTTTCTGGGACGAGGAGATCAGATGGTGGAACTCAGGAGGGAGAATGACAGCAGCACTGGCTGTTTTGCAGCAGGAGGATGGAGACGGCCCGAGAGGCAGTGGGATCCCCGACATGTCTTCTTCAAGCTCGGCTGTGTCTGTGACATGAAGGTGGGGGACGTGGCGAGGATACAGGATTCCAGTGCTAGTAGGGAAGGAACGGGTAATTCATGAGGGGTTCAAAGTCACTCAGCTGTTGGGGAGTGGAATCTAGAGATGTTTTCTATGGTTAGTTTACAGATGCCCAAGCATAGGTGAATAAAATAAACATTTGTTCTTTAGGATTATCTGTAATACCACTCCCCTTCTTTAAGCTGGATAACTGAAAGTGGATTCTACCACCTTTCACTTTTATTTTTATTTATTTATTTATTTATTTTTTTCCCTTGCACTTTTAATGAGCTGTAATACCAGTAAAAGAAGGACCTTATGAGTGTCTATCCAGAATCCTTTTTCTCCCCCAGTACCTTTTTTTTTTTGCGGGCTAGAAATGTAACATACAAAACAGAAAGGAAGAAAGAAGATTGAAAATTCATATATATGCATTTTCTAAAAAAGATTTGATTTATTTATTTGACAGAGAGAGACACAGCGAGAGAGGGAACACAAGCAGGGGGAGTGGGAGAGGGAGAAGCAGGCTTCCTGCGGAGCAGGGAGCCCGATGTGGGGCTCGATCCCAGGACCCCGGGATCATGACCCGAGCTGAAGGCAGACGCTTAACAGAGCCACCCAGGTGCCCCATATATATGCATTTTGAATAATGAAAAGTTTAGGGAAGAAAATAAAGAAATCTTACTGTGCACAGTAATTACCATTAAAATGTAGTGTAGGGGCGCCTGGCCAGCTTATTCATTGGAGTGTGCAACTCTTGATCTCCGGGTTGTAGGTTTGAGTCCCGTGTTGGGTGTAGAGACTACTTAAAATCTTAAAAAAAAAAAAAAAAAAAATTAGTGTGTATTTGTTTTGTTTTTTTTTTTAAAGATTTTATTTTTTTTATTTGTCAGAGACAGAGAGAGTGTACAAGCAGGGGGAGCAGCAGAGAGAGAAGCAGGCTCCCTGCTGAGTGGGGAGCCTGATGCGGGGCTCGATCCCAGGGCCCTGGGATCATGACCTGAGCCGAAGGCAGATGCTTAACAAGTGAGCCACCCAGGCGCCCCTGTTGTTTTGCTTTCTTTTAAGTAACGTGTAGTATTACAATTTTTTTTTTTAAGATTTTATTTATTCATGAGTGACAGAGAGAGAGAGGCAGAGGGAGAAGCAGGCTCCCAAGGAGCAGGGAGCCTGATGCGGGACTCGATCCCAGGACCCTGGGATCATGACCCGAGCTGAAGGCAGACGCCCAGCCATCTGAGCCACCCAGGCGCCCTAGTATTACAATTTTGTAGAAAAAAACAAAACCAAAAAACTCTGGGTTATTTTGAAGTGTGGTAGTGTCCCCTTATCCGTGGCTTCAGTTATCTGTAGTCAGCCGCAGTCTGGAAGCAGGTGATCCTCCTGACTTCACCTCATCATAAGGTCAATAGTAGCCTAATGCTGTGTCACCGTGCCCATGGCCCTCCCCTCACTTCACCACCCCATGTAGGCATCGCATCAGCTCACATCATCCTAAGAAGAGGGGTGAGTACAGGATAGTAAGATAGTTTGAGAGAGGGAGGGACCACATTTGTTTATTACAGTACACTGTTACAGTTGTTCTGTTACTAGTTACTGTTAATCTCACTGCTGAATTTATAAATTAAACTATAGTAGGTCCGTACAGGAAAAAACACTGTATATAGGATTCAGTACTGTGGGAAGTGTCAGGCATCACTGGGGCTTTTGGAACCTGTGTCCCAGAGGATAAGCAGGGGCCTACTGTATCAGCATTTTGTTACAGTGGGTACACTGTGAAATCATGTTTCTAGGCTGCAGGTGCTAGTGATTAAACCTTCCTTGTGTTGGTGTGTATTCTAACAGAATTTTAACCCCTACCGCTCCCTCTTTTTTTTAGAATTTTAATTGTTCTTTTAAAATCGATTTATATACCCTAATTTCTACTTATGCTTTTTTTCTTTTGCCTTCTAAAATGATTAACTTAGGCAGATTTCAGCTTATAATTAGTTGACTTGTACAGTTCTCAGCTAATTATTTTCATGTTACCAATTCACAGTTCTCAGGCTGGCAGTAAATAAGTTACAGATGTGTTCTGTGTAAGTCTTCGCTGCTCTGCCTTACCCTTCTCAGCTTCCCTTTCTAGCGGCTCTGAGCATCTAACACCCGGACAGAGGAGAGGAAGAGTGGGGTTCCTGTGGGGTTCTCTGAGACGGGGGTTAAATTGAGAAGCAATGTGATGTGGTCATTGAAAAGGAACATTTTTGGGGTGCCTGGCTGGCTCAGTTGGAAGAGCGTGTGACTCTTGATCGCACGATCATGAGTTTGAGACCCACGTTGGGTGTAGAGATTACTTAAATCAGTAAAACTTAAAAGAAAAGAAAAACATTTTCTCTATGGCTGGTAAACTGTACGGACAGTGTTAGAGTTGTTCCAAATACATTTTAGGTAGTAGAAGTATCAATGGAAACTACCAAAGTGAATTTCTGGCATGTTTGTTTAAAAAATCTTTTATGTTGGTTCAGTTTTGAAAATGTTGACATCATTAAGTGTACAACTTGTTCAAGATTGTTGATGAAGGAGATCACTATGCTGTTTACTGAAGTTCTCTTTTCTAAGAAATTTGGCTGAGAGCAACTTTGGATTTGATGGATTTGGGATCTCTTTGTCCAGTCCCTGTGAAAGGCAAAGCCGTAGGACGTTTTGATGTGCAGTACGCATGGGCTCTGGAAGTGAAGCATAGAAGATTGAGAGTACATGCAAGTCAGGATTGATTCATGGCTTCTTGAAGATTAAAGCTTTTTTTTCTCTGTTGGGGGAGAGGATGGTCCAATTTAAAACCATGTTTACCCTGGTTGAAAGTCCCAGTGTCGATGAGACGACAGGTCACAGCCTGAGGGCTGCTCTGCATAGAGCTCAGTGATAGATAATTTGATCTCTTTTTGAACATGTTTTGACTGTGTAATACACAGACATGAAAACAATTCATAGATGCGGACAGCGCGCCGTGAAAAGTTGGGCACTCTTTCCCTCTGCTCTTGCCCCCCGGGTTCTTGTCTCAGGAGCAAGCAGTCACTGTTCAGCACGCCTGTTCTGCCTGTGTTCTCCTCCCCACGACAACTTGGTTCTCATGTCGACTTTTGCTACAGCATGAATGTTTCCTTGCTTTTTAAATGCCCCATCTTCTCCAGAAGAAAGATAGCACTCTTTAAGAGTTGAGGTGAAGAGGGGAAAGTTGTCTGAGGAACTGTAGAACCGTATGTTGATAATTTTACGGTGATTTTTACTCTACTGCTCTGTAGAATTTATGGAGTCAGAAAGTTCAGGACATTTATAATGGATATCACTTATAATGGGTTAAATGCGGTATTAATGGTTGTATAAAATGTCCCTTTGTCATCAGGACTATAACAAACCCCACCCCACAATTATGGTTCTCATTTCTCCATAGGAAAAAAATGCATAACTCAAAGCAGTAGAAAGACCTTGGGGTGCCTGGCTGGCTCAGCTGGTAGAGTGTGTGACTCCTAGTCTCAGGGTCATGAGTTCAAGCCCCATACTGGGAGTGGAGCCTACTTAAAATTAAGAGGAAAAAAAAAAAAGTAGGAGACCATAGCCATTATGTAGTTCAACACCCTGACATAGGTGAGTACATTGGATCTGAGCTTTTGATTTCTTAGGACCCTGTAAGTGAGAGGAGAATGCCTATATGGTGTATGCATCATTAATGAAGTTACCCATCTATAAAGGACTTTATAACAAAATGCTGATTTCTGTAACCTAGTATGATTGATAATGGGCAAAGTGTGGAGCAATACTTGTGATTCTTCCAGGAAAACCTCAGTTGCACTCTGGAGGGGCGATACCTTTGCTGCCGTTAGGCAGCCACTCTGCAAAACCAGGAGCCCCGCCTGGGAAACCCCCTCAGCCAGGTGTCTGTGCATGTCCTCAGGAAAAGCCATTCGGGACCCTGGCTCCGCAAGCTGAGGATGAGACAGAGGACGGTGGACTCTTCATTCCGATGGGTAGGCTTTCTTTTTCTTTTCTTCTTTTGTAATTAAAAAAAAAAAAATCCTCTTTATTGAAATATGATATAAAGTATAATATGTAGAAAACTGCATGTGTCCTAAGATATCCTAGTTCCTTGAATTTTCGGAGACTGAAGACACCCGTGCAGCCAGCAACCAGATCAAGAAACAGAGTATTACCTGTTCCCTAGGTTGCCCCTTTCAGTTATTACCAGCATCTCACCCGTGGGGGCCATTACTCTGACTTGTGGCAGCCCAGTTTGGTTCACCTGTTTTGTACTTCATATGAGTGGAATCCTATGTTTGTATGCCTGGTGACTGTGTTTTTCCACTCATCTTGTTGTGTTTATGAAATTGGCCCACGCTGTTGATTGTAGCTTGTTCATTTTCATTGCTGTCTAGTATTCTGTTGTTTGAGTATTCAACATTTTCTGTATCTGTTCAACTTTTTTTTTTTTTAAGATTTTATTTGAGAGAGAGCTTAGGAGAGAGAGAGAGAGACCACGAGAGGGGGAGTGGGAGAGGGAGAAGCAGACTCCTCACTGAGCAGGGAGCCCGACCTGGGGCTTGATCCCAGGACCCTGGGATCATGACCTGAGCCGGAGGCCGACGCTTAACAGACTGAGCCACCCAGGCGCCCTCCATTCAACTCTTAATGGGCATTAGGATAGTTTCTAGTTGCAGGCTACTCTGAATGGTGCTGCTGTGAACATTCTACACAGATCTTTGGGTGAACATCTGCATTTGATTTTTGTTGGGTGAATTGCTAGGTCATAGGATTAGGCCTTCTGAAATTTTTTTGAAATACTGTATTTTTTATTGTGAATTATAACACATACAGACAAGTGAATAAAGACTTTATTCAGCTTAAAAAATGGTTTTACAACAAGCACCTGTGATTTCAGTTTTTTTTTTAAGATTTTATTTATTTATTTGAGAGAGAGAGGGTGAGAGCAAGTGAGCACACCAGCAGGGGGAGTGGGAGAGGGAGAAGCAGGCTCCCCACGGAGCAGGGAGCCTGACTCGGGGCTCGATGCCAGGACCCTGAGATCATGACCTTAGCTGAAGGCAGACGCTTAAATGACTGAGCCATCTAGGCACCCCTTGTGATTTCTTTTTTTTCCTTCCATTCTTTCATTCTTTCTCTTTCTTTTTTAAATTTTATTTATTTACTTGAGAGAGAGAGAGCACAAGCATGATTGGGGGAGGGATGGAGGGAGAGGGAGAAGCAGGCTCCCCGCTAAGCAGGGAGCCCATGCAGGGCTGGATCCTAGGATCCTGAGATCTGGAGCTGAAGGCAGATGCTTAATGGACTGAGCCAGCCAGGCACCCCTGTGATTTCTTTTTCTTATTGCAAATACTAGTGGTGATCGTGTACATTTCGTCTGAATGTGGGGGAAGGCACTCCGTATTATTCTTGTTTTTTGGGGTTTTGTTTTGTTTTGTCTTTGTAAGTAGGGAGGTGGAGGGGCAGAGGGAGAGAGAGAGTGAGATTCTAGAGCAGACTCCCTGTTGGGCATGGAGCCTGACATGGGGTTCAATCTCATGATCCTGAGATCACCACCTGAGCCTAAATCAAGAGTCGGGTGCTTAACTGAGCCAGCCAGGCGCCCCTGTATTCCTTGTTATGCATGACAGTTGTAGACTTTTTGTAGATACATTTTTTTTTTAAAGATTATGTTTACTTATTAGAGAGAGAGAGTGAGCATGAGCAGGGGGAGGGGCAGAGGGAGAGGGAGAAGCAAACTCTCTGCTGAGCAAGTAGCCTGATGTGGGACTCTATCCCAGGACCCCGGGATCATGACCTGAGCCGAAGGCAGACGCTTAACCGACTGAGCCACCCAGGCGCCCCAACTTTTTATAGATATGTTGTATCAGATTAAGGAAGTTCTTTTCTTAATTTTCAGAATTTTATCATGTATTGAATTGTGCTAGTGCTTTTCTGTCTCTATTAAGATGATCATACAGTGTTTCTTCTTTATTCTGTTAGTAATGTGGAGATTCACGTTGTTTCTTACTGTCAGATTTATTGAAATATAATTTGCATTCAATGAAACGTACCCAGTGAGTTTTGAAACATGTAATACAGTTCTGTAACTGCCACCACTGTCAGCATACGGGACATTTCTGTCTCCCCGAAAGCGCTCTCATTGCCCGTTGCAGGCCTTCATTCTCAGCCTGGGCTCGTCCGCCGCCTCACTCCGTCCGCGTGGTTTTCTCCGCGGTGTCCTGCTCGTGCTCACACACAGTACGGAGCTGTCTTTGCCTGGTACAATGCTTTGGAGGCTCAGTCACATTTGTTCTTCTCCTTGCTGAGTAGTATTCCATCCCATAGATATACCACAAGTTACTTGTTCGCCAGTTGATGGACGTTTGGGTTGTTTCCAGGTTTTGCCTGAAGCTGCTATATATATTCACATATAGGTCTTTGATAGATATAAGTTTTCATTTTCCTTGGGTAAATCACTAGGAAGGACATTTCCGGCACTTTATGAGGAACTGCTGACCCGTTTTCCAAAGCGGCTGTACCATTTTACGCTCCCACCAGTGGGTGTGAGATTCACAACTGATCCGCGTCCTTTCCAGCAGTTGCCAGACGCTTACATTTTCTCCATTTTAGTAGGTGTATTTCCTTGCGGTTTGAACTTGCATTTCTCTAAGGAAGAGCAATGTAGAGCATGTTTTCATGTATTTATTGGCCACTTGTAGATCATTTTTGGTGAAATGTTTGATCATTATTCTGTTATATGCCCTTATTCCTTTTGTAATTAGTACATATCTTGCAGGAGATACTTTATTTTATTTATTTATTTTTTAAAAGATTTTATTTATTTATTTGAGAGAGAGAGAATGAGAGAGAGAGAGAATGAGAGAGAGAGCACGAGAGGGAAGAGGGTCAGAGGGAGAAGCAGACTCCCCGCTCAGCAGGGAGCCCGATGGGGAACTCGATCCCGGGACTCCGGGATCATGACCTGAACCGAAGGCAGTCGCTTAACCAACTGAGCCACCCAGGCGCCCGATACTTTATTTTTTTAAAAAATATTTTACTTATTTATTTTAGAGAGGGGGTGGAGGGGCAGAGGGAAAGGGAAAGAGAATCCCAAGTGGACTCTCCACTGATCACAGAGCCAGACTCGGGGCTCTATCCCATGACCCTGAGATCGTGATCTGAGCCGAAATCAAGAGTCAGATAGATGCTTAACTTGACTGGGCCACCCAGGCACTCCTTGCAGAAGATACATTAAAACTATGCATGTATCCTGTTTCTCCTCAAACTTTTCCCCACTAATTTTAGCATCCATTGGTGGATTGCCTACAAGAATTATTACTGTGTTGTTCTAATTTTTTTATTCCTTTCATTCCTTCTACATTTAGTAATTGGGATTTTCTATAAAGAAGAGCTGTCCCTTCTTCCTCGTTTATTTATTCAGTTTTTTTAAAAGATTTTTTATTTATTTATTTGAGAGAATGAGAGATAGAGAGCACAAGAGGGGGGAGGATCAGAGGGAGAAGCAGACTCCCCGCTGAGCAGGGAGCCCGATGCGGGACTCGATCCCGGGACTCCAGGATCATGACCTGAGCCGAAGGCAGTCGCTTAACCAACTGAGCCACCCAGGCGCCCTATTTATTCAGTTTTTATGTGAGTGTGGACTCATGGGTATTTATTTTATTATTTGAGTTACAGTGCAATGGTGTCATTTATTTTGCTCAGATTGTTTTAGTGTTAGGTATGGGGAGATACTTCAGGTTTTACTTTTATGGAATATGGTTTTGGTGTCATATCAAGGAATGCTGCCTAATCCTGGGGCGCCCGGCTGGCTCAGTTGGTGGAGTGTGTGACTCTTGACCTTGGGGTTGGGAGTTCAAGCCCCATGTTGGGTGTAGAGCTTACATTAAAAAAAAAAAAAAAAAAAAGGAACTCTGCCCAATCCCAAGGTCACAGAGATTCTTTTTGCAAGTTGTATGGTTTTACATATTCCGTTTAGGTATATGATCCATTTTGACTTAATTTTTGTATCATGTGTGAGGCATATTTGAGATTCTTTTTTGCACGTGGATGTTTATTTCTGCATGATTTTTGGAAAAGATACCTTTCTCCATTACATTACCTTTGCACCTGTGAAGAACTCACTGGCCATATTAGTGTGGGGTCTTTTCTGGACTCTGTTCTGTCCATTGATCTAGGTGTCTGACCTTTCACCAAAACTACACTGGTTCGATCTGTATAACTTCACAGTAAGTGTCAAGATCAGGTAATCTAAGTCTTTACCTTTAACCTGTTTTTAAAATATATATATATATATATATATATATGTACATATATATGTGTGTATATATATTTAAGATTTTATTCATTTATTTGAGAGGGAGAGTGAAAGAGAGAGAGTGAACACAAGGTGGGGGAGGAGCAGAGGGAGAAGCAGACTCCCCACTCAGCAGGGAGCCCGATGCTGGACTTGATCCCAGGACCTTAGGATCATGACCTGAGTTGAAGGCAGATGCTTAATGACTGAGCCACCAGGCGCCCCTGATATATATTTTTTTAAGATTTTATTTATTAGAGACAGAGCAAGTGCATGCACACAGGTGGGGGGAGGGCAGAGGGAGAGGGAGAGCCAGACTCCCTGCTGAGCAGAGAGCCCAACGTGGTGCCCCATGTCCTTTTTTTTTTTTCTTTTAAAACAAGGTTAGGGGCGCCTGGGTGGCTCAGTTGGTTAAGCGACTGCCTTCGGCTCAGGTCATGATCCTGGAGTCCCGGGATCGAGTCCCTCATCGGGTTCCCTGCTTGGCAGGGAGTCTGCTTCTCCCTCTGACCCTCCCCTCTCTCATGTGCTCTCTCTCTCTCTCTCTCTCATTCTCTCCCTCAAATAAATAAATAAAATCTTTAAAAAAAATAAAACAAGGTTATTGGGCTATTATAGGTCCTTTGCATTTCCATGTAAATTTAAGAATTGGCTTGTCATTTTCTTCAAAAATACCTGCAGAGGGACGCCTGG